AAACAAAAAGAAACAACTCTGATAATGATAATGATATGCACTGCCCTTGAAGTTGATTGGTCCATATCATTATCATTATCAGAGTTGTTTCGTTTTGTATGCATTTTGACTGCTTGTGTTGTGGTTATTGCAAACATGATGCCTTGTATAAAGGTGTCAGTTTTGTACCAGTTGAAACGGTAAAACCCTATTAATATAGTTCAATCTTTGTTTTGTGGTGGCTTCCGCTCCACCACCACCACACTCACCCACCCTTCATTTATTTGTTTATTTCCTCAACTCGAAAGCTGACAGCTCCATCCAAGCAGATAAATTGTGTGGCTCCCAGGCTCGGCATGGCTTTATTTGGATACATGGAGGCTTGCCAATGGGAACACGTCATGGGAAAAGGTCACAAAGTGAATGAAATCGTTAGCCCGAAGACGCGGACTCAAGCTGTTTACCATCGAGCCCCCCCCCCCCTTCCTGCCTTAGAGGGATCTGACAATATGCATGGGAAGGAAGGAGGACCTGGTCATGTTAAGAATGCGACCAATGCGAAAAATATACGAAAGGGAAAAGAAATAAACCACATTCCTCGATAACATTGCCCTAAAGTGAACGCACGTGCGTGCGTGTGTGTGCTTGTGTATGTGTGGCGTTGGCTCAGCCTCAAATGAGTACCTGGTGCGATGCGTAAACATCGCCACTAGGGAGACAAAGGCGGCCGGCCGTGGTGTCGGCCACCCACCCCCTCGTGTTCCGTGCCAGCCTTCATAGGTACTCGCTAACAGCACTTGCCCCAACAGTTCATTAAGGCTATACGGGGGATCTTTGGTGTTGGCCACCCATCCCCTTGTGTGCCGTGCCAGCCTTCATAGGTACTCGCTAAGAGCACTTGCCCCAACAGTCTATTTAGGCTATACGGGGAACCTCTGTCTTTGTATACAACAACGAGCGGAGCGCCGGGCGGCTAAAACACAGCAAGTTGTCGCACAGACGGTGCATCGGCCACTCGTCTCAGTCAGTCGACCCGTGGCACCTGCAGGGTCTGCCACTTGACCTCCTGGCAGCGGGCCTTCAACACTTCACGTGGCCTTAACGTGCACCTAGCCTGGCACAAGCGCCGCGGTGACGTCACCGCACCTCAGTGGCGAATGGCGGTTGTTGTTGTTGTCGTGTATGTGAAATAAGCGACGTTTCAGGCAATGGGCCATTCGTCATCGCACAGAGATCTATCCCACCCACGTGTTCGGCGTTTATTTCATTTCATGAATTGTTGAGAACGCTGGGCCAGGATTGGGCAAAAAATATATAAAAGTGGGCCCACGTTTCATAAGCGACAGCAGTGCGATGAATAATGATGATGTGAAAAGTAAGAATAGGTTTTATTACCCTTTTCTGCCATTGAAACGGGTGGTGTTAAGACGTTCGAACACCAAGTAAGATGCTTTTTGCAAGGCAATTACGTCCCTATCAACTACACGGTACCTGTAGTGAACATGCAAACCAACATGCTCTGATAACACTGGTTAAAAAAAAAAAACTTTTTTTCTGGCCTGGACATTTGCAGCTGTTTTATACTAATTTCAGGGTGCTGATTCCAAATCTGATCTCAGATTTGCTCTATCACATCTCATTTTTATGCTATCGGCATACCCCATTTTCATTGATTTTACCCGAAACTAACTCTGTCACTTATGATTGCAAGTTATTGCGAGTCAGTGACTGCTTTAGTGTTAAAATATGGTGCTGTATTTTTAGGATAGTGTGTTTATAATATCATTTTATGTAGATATCCACATTTATTTAATCTTTTTCTTCTGCAGTTTTTATTGAAAATGCAATATTTGATATCTCAAAACCTGATGTGATAGACAAAAACTGATGCCAGATTTGGAATCAGCACCCCAAAATTACCTTAAAACCGTTGGAATACCTTATGCCAGAAAAAGTGTGTTGACCAGTGTAATATATGCATTGACCTTGAAACTGATTGGCCCTACACACCAGCAACCTTCATGGACGAGTCTCGCTGGTGTAAGACCAGAGAAGGTCAACAGTTGAACAGTGCCAAGGCAATGCCACACGTCTCAGAGAATGTATAGCTCGGGGTGAGAAGCTTCATCATGGGAGCCCTATTTGTCAGTATCAAAGTATTACAAATAAGGAAAGGTTTCACCCTTTCTGGCAATACAACAGGAGTTGTGTTAAGATTCTAGATTTGAAGTTATCGTGACTGTAATGGTCCATACTCTTGGTTTTTTCGGTAAAGTTACGTAGGTAAAAAAAAAAAAGATTTTTTTTTTTATTTTATTCTTTGTTTTTTTTCGGTAAAGTCACGTAGGTAAAAAAATATATATTTTTTTACCTACGTGACTTTACCGAAAAAACCAAAGAGTATTGATGTTAAGATGTTCACCAAATAGAAACCTTTTGCAAGGGATCACGTTACTGCATTAACCACGTACAGTACTTGCGATAAACATGCAAACGAACAGGGCTCTGATGATGTTTGCATTGACCTTGAAACGGATTGGCCGACGCCAGAGGCAGCAGCCTTCTTCAGGGCCTCATCTCACCACCAGTGTCAGACCAGAGGACAGCGCCGAAAGGCGAACAGTGCACAGACAATGCCACGCGTAGCAGAGCATTTAGAGCTCGGGCTGAGAAGCTATATCGTCAGTACTGGCTAAAAGGTCCCATGATGATAATAATACTAATTTACATTTGTAATTTATATTTGCGCCGCCGCGTACGGAAAGCAGTAGAAATCAGATGGAGCCAGCAGTTGTAAATAACCAAAACTATGGCCGGGGGGGGGGGAGAGGATATTTTTAGAGAGGTGACTTTTGAGGGCAAAGATTTAAATAGCTCTATTGATTGTCCTATTACAGGGGATTATTGTGTCCGTCGTGCAGGGAGGGGCTGGGTGGGGAGGGAGGGGCTGGGTGGGGAGGGAGGGGCTGGGTGGGGAGGGGAGGGTGAGGAGGGGCTGGGTGGGGAGGGTGGGGCTGGGTGGGGGGTGGGAGGGGTGGGGCTGGGTGGGGAGGGGCTGGTCACCCCGTGGTGCCCTTATAAAACTCAACGTTTCACCTACTCACGCCGGCTTGTGCCCGCCCTCACAGTCGGGCATATTTGCGGAATACACCACGCCGCCGTTGACCCTGCAGGCCATTGACCGAGCAACCCAACGTTCCTACCAGCTCCCTCCGCAGGAATGTGTTTAGTTATGACCTTGCTGCTGTAGTGAACTTGCATGTAAAAAATAAGTGGTTCAATCTTGATTTGAAGCTTTCGTGACTGCAGGAATCCATACTCTTTGGTTCTTTCGGTAAAGTCACGTGGGTAGAAATAAAATACGACGTGTCGCCAGTAACCTACATAACCGCTTGCCACGGCAGCTCTCTCGCCCACTTCAGCTATTTTTATTTCTTGCTGTGGTTGTCCCACCTGATGACGGACGTTTGTGTTGCGCCCAAAACGTCGTGATTTGTTTTATTTAATTTTATTTCTAACTACGAACCAAAGAGTATGAATAAGTGAAATTTCGATTTAAAGCTTTCGTGACTGCAGGGATTCATCTTCTTGGTTCTTTCGGTAAAGTCACGTTGAAGGGAAATAATTAAATAATACAAATGAAACATAATAAAATATAATTTAATTTCGATTTAAAGCTTTCGTGACTGCAGATATTCATCTTCTTGGTTCTTTCGGTAAAGTCACGTAAAAGGGAAATAATAAAATAATACAAATAAAACATTAAAATAATTCTCACGACGTTTCGGCCACAACGCAAGCAGCCGTCCTCAGGTGAAGAACAGGTCTGTCGATTAGACAGTCAGACTCTGTCTTATCGACAGACCTGTTCTTCAGACAGACCTGTTCTCCACCTGAGGATGGCTGCTTGCGTTGTGGCCGAAACGTCGTGAGAATTATTTTATTATGTTTTCTTTTTATTATTTTATTATTTCCCTTCTACGTGACTTTACCGAAAGAACCAAGAAGATGAATAAGTGGTTACACTTGTCCCATGGCGTGACCACGTGGCCCTGGCGAATGGACTGTCCTGGGTAAGAAAAGTACTTCTGTGGAAGTTGGTGGACATTTAAACAACAACAACAAATAAAAGGCAATAGTTTCCATAAATACATTCTCACTAGTAGTAGGTTTAAGGAATGTTTCCCTCGGAAGCAACTTTTCGGATTATGTGGAGGTCTTCTGGTGACGGGCAGACATCTGAAAAAAAAATCTGTTCTCAACAACGCCATGAGGTGAGCTCCATCTTACCCGGGTTCACCTTTGCCTTGACCCATGCCCTGGAATTTTTTTTTTTTACCAGGTAAGGCCCCTCTGAGCTATGCAGATCGTTTTCAGAAGCGACCTGGCTCTCAAAAATGATAGCTCAACGAAGTGGCTCATCATCATCATGTGGACCTTTGTAGCAGCCAAATACCCATGAACGCGTGACGTTGATTCTAGAAAAATCCACGCGACCACAGAAAGAGAGACACACAAATTCAAAATGTACAGCAGGCGTCAGGGTCGGGGTCGAACCCACGACCTCCTGTATACCTGGCGAGGTAGTTAACATCTCCTCGCCACTGTGATGATGATGAGAGAGAGACACACGCAAACTCCAAATATACAGCAGGCGTCAGGGTCGGGGTCGAACCCACGACCTCCTGCAGACCAGGCAAGGTAGTTAACATCTCCTAGCCACCGTGATGATGATGATGAGAGAGAGAGACACGCAAACTCCAAATATACAGCAGGCGTCAGGGTCGGGATCGAACCAACGACCTCCTGTAGACCAGGCGAGGTAGTTAACATATCCTAGCCACCGTGATGATGATGAGACACGCAAACTCCAAATATACAGCAGGCGTCAGCATCGGGATCGAACCCACGACCTCCTGCATACCAGGCGAGGTTGTTAACATCTCATAGCCACCGTGGCACCCTTTTCATCTTCACAGATCTGCCATTCGCGACATAAAACTAACCTCGATTGTCTCGTCGATTTTTCTGCATTTTATTAACATCCGTTGTAAGTAAGTGACGAGGGAAGGGGGGGGCGACACGTACATTTCTCGAGAGGCAACAAGTTTGGAGTTAGATCGAAGCGTAAAAAAACAATTATCATATTTGTACTGGCAAATGAGGTTCCCATAGTGTAGATGCTTGCCCCGAGCTCTCATACTCTGATGGTGCATTGTCTTTGAGTTGTGCGCCTTTTGGCGTCATCTGGTCCAACCCATGTGAGACTAGGCTCTAAGGAAAGCTGTCTCGGGTGTGGACCAATCAACTTCAAGGACAGTGCATACATTATCAGAGTTATGTTTTTTGTTTGTATTATGACTGCAGGTATTGTGGTCTATGCAAACATGACTCCTTGTAAAAAGGTGTCAGTTTTGTTGCCATATAGAAGGGTAAGAAAAGAATTATCAAGTTTGGAGTTGTGTGTGGCAGTGGCTCGTGACCTGGGCCTTTTGGGGATGGTTCTCAAAAAATGTCCCCCCCTCTCTTCTTACACAACGCTGTCGCTGAGAGCAAAGCAATTGTTGAGTTTTGCCCCCAACTGTTACAGTTGAGAAAAAAATATAAACTGAAGTTTACAGAGAGAGAGAGAGAAAGACGGGAGTCGATTCGGTCGGGGTCACGTGTGGCGCTTGTTGCAGAGGTCTGTGCGTGGTTCGCACCCCAGGCGGCTGCCCTAGTAAATACCGCAAACCCCGCGCCGTCCCGTTTAGCCATTGACGATGTTTTATTTTTCAAGATCCCCGTGGACCAGATCTGCAAAAAGAGCCGGCGTCGTGGTCCAACCATGGGACCTTTTTTTTGTTGCCGGTATCAAAGTATGAAAACTAAGAAGAGGTTTTATCCCCTTTGGGGCCATCCATTTAGTACGTACGCATGGAGGGGGGAGGCGGGGTTAACCCAAATGCGTTCGCTTGCGTATAGGGGGTCTACTGACAATGTACGCATAGGAAACGGGAGAGGGGGGTGAATCCTCGATAATAATGTTTGTCTACATTGGCCTTCAAATGAGTTAGATAGTCCGGTGGTGGACTATCTGTTTGCTGAAACACGTCAATATTGTTAATCCTTGATCGTTTCTGATTAAATATCGGCCGTTCGAATCGATTCGGGGGGGGGGGGTGTGTGCATCAAGCGTACGTACGCAGGTGGGCGGGAAGTAAAAAGTCCGTGTGCGTACAGGGAGGGGGGGAGGGGTCAAGTTTTGGCAGATGTTTGCGTACTAAATGGATGGCCCATTTCCGGCAACAAAACAGGAGTTGTGTTCAGATGTCTAAAGACCAAAAATAAACCTTTTGTAAGGAATCAAGTATTGCGTTAACCACACACAGACGTACTTGTGGTGAACATGCAAACAAACATGGCTCTGATAATATCTGCATTGTCTTAGAAACGTATTGGCCTACAGCAGAGACTGCCTTCTTTAGGGGCCTAGTTTCAACAGTGTCAGACCAGAGGTTGCTAAAAGGCGAGCAGTTCCTAAGACAATGCACGTATCAGAGCATTTATAGCTCTGGGTAGGCAGCTACATCAAATTGATATCGTTTCTTCACCTCCTGATTTCATTTGCCCGAAAGGATAAAGCCCATTCTTGTTTTTCATGTCGTGGTCCAAATCCATTATAAAAGCCCGGCGTTCTGTTTTGTCCGTCAATGAAATAATGAGATGTTTCAGAAGGCCTGAATCAAAAAGTTAGAGAGTGCACTCCCCTCCCTCCCAGAAGTGGGGGTAAAAAAGTTGATTCAACAGGTCTACAACAATTGTCGACCTCCCCAAACAAAAAATAAATACAATTTGAAGGCATATATGCCTACACACCCTACATACAATAGAGTCAGTCGTATCTCCTATAGAGTCAGGAGTCTCTACTCATACTACACCTGTACCTAGCCACACGGCAACACCAAGCCACACGGCAAAAATTTGCACTTGCGAACCCTTTTCCTGGTGTCTCTCGCTGCGTCTTCTAAGATTTGCGTGCGTTTCCTCCAACCACCGTTTCAACGCCTCTCTCGTCTTGTGCGTTATCCCTTGAAGAGGGCAGTGAGGCGGTTGACATTCTTCTTGTTGTTGTTGTTATTGTCTATGTTGTCGTTTTTTGTCGCTGTTGTCATCTCTGTGGTTGTTTTGTCTGTGTTCTTAGGTTTTTTCGGTAAAGTCACGTAGGTAAAACATTAAAATTAATAAAAGAAAAAGAAAATTAAAATCACGACGTTTCGGAGGCAACACAAGCTTCCGTCTTCAGGTGGAACCGTCACAGCCACGACAGCTGTATCAAGTAAATGAGAGATTGCAGGAGCTACCACTCCGTTTATATAATGGTTGGAGAGGGGGGGGGCACGTACAGCACACTTTTTATTCATATGGTAAGGTGAGGCTTAAGAGGGTGAGCCTTTGTTATGGAGAGGTACGGTTTGTGACTCAACCTGTGACAAGGAGACAACCACTAAACATCAGAGGTGTGGACTCGAGTCATGTGACTTGGACTCGAGTCAGACTCGAGTCATGAATTTGATGACTTGAGACTCGACTTGGACTTGCATAACAATGACTTTGTCCCACCTCTGAGGTGTGGACTCGAGTCATGTGACTTGGACTCGAGTCAGACTCGAGTCATGAATTTGATGACTTGAGACTCGACTTGGACTTGCATAACAATGACTTTGTCCCACCTCTGCTAAACATGGTAAACCTGCCCTAAGTCTGTCAAATAAAATTGGCCAACTAAGTGTAGTTAAATCTTTTTTGCATGGTTAATCACATCTTTCCAATGATTGTTTTGTCTCTTGTTGTTATCTCTGTTGCTTTTGTATCCGTTGTTGTTGTGTCTGTTGTTGTTGTTTTTTTGTCTCTGTTGTTGTGTATGTTGTTGTTGTCTCTGTTGTTGTTGTCTGTTGTTGTTTTTTTGTCTCTGTTGTTGTTTTTGTTGTTGTCTCTGTTGTTGTTTTCTCTGTTGTTGTTGTCACTTGTTGTTATCTCTGTGGCTTTTGTCTCCGTAGTTGTTGTGTCTGTTGTTATTTTTTTGTCTCTGTTGTTGTTGTGTTTGTTGTTGTTGTTGTCTTTGTTGTTGTCTCCGCTGTTGTTGTTGTTGATGTCTCCGTGGCTCAAGCAACGCCGTGCACCTCTCGTGCAAGACAGCCGCGGCAACGACCGGCTCAACGGGAAGTGCCATCCGCGTGACGCTGTGGGCCTTCACTGCAAGGCCCCCACGGGGCCACTGACGGTCTCCCTGGTGGCCTTTAGTGCGGCCCCTGACGTGCCCCCCCCCCCCCCCCACGACCACACACAAACAGTGACAACACCCCATCATCATCATCGTCGTGCTACTGTCAAACCACAACAATGGTTTTCATGAGAGTTTTTGGGTTAGATCTCGTAAATAAAAACGCGTCCTTAAACCCGCCGCAGCCAAACAGCAAGGTTTGGCACGTAGCACAAAACGCGCCAATGAGTTCCTACTTCGGCGCACACGGGTTGAGCGTTGGAGAGTTAAGCCCCACAACGGTCACCACGGGAAAATATTGGTGGCGAAAGCCTGCGCGTTGAAAGCCGACGAACCAAATGGTGTCAGATGGCGTGGCGTGGCCTCGCGCGCTGACTTTGTCTTATCGGCGAAAGCGGGCCATCACCTCTGGGAATTAGCGGAGGAAACGCTGGCGCAACGGATCAAAATTAACTCGAACTCAGGCGTTGCCTGTCTTGCGAAGCGTCGCCGTTGTAAGGGAAGTCGGGGGCAACGCTGCCGAGGTGCGACGCGTCATGATAATCCGTGAAGGCCGCTTATTGTAAAGATCGTTATTTTCTGCGGAAGGACGGCCGGAATGCCAATATTCCTCTCCAAATATACAGCAGCAGGCGTCAGGGTCGGGATCGAACCCACGACCTCCTGTATACCAGGCGAGATAGTTAACGTCTCCTAGCCACCGTGATGATGATGAGAGAGACACACGCAAACTCCAAATATACAGCAGGCGTCAGGAAAACTAAAGTGAGCAAAAACATCGTTATTATTTTCAATTATCCCGTTGTTTTTCGCCCCGCGTAAACTCTCGTTGTCAGCGCTCGAAAACGGCTGCGAGCCAACCACGCGGAAGACCATGGTCCATAATGTTCCAAATTTGGTAAAAATTTAATTGGGATGAAAAACAAAAAAAAACAGCACGTACAAGCACAAAGACAAAGATCCCCCGTGTAGCCTGTACACAGACTGTTGGGGCAAGGGCTGTTAGCGAGTAGCACCTACGAAGGCCGAAACGGCACACAAGGGTGTGGTTGGCCAGCACCACGCCCGGCCGCCTTTGTCTCCCCAGTGGCGATGTTTACGCATCGCACCGGGTACTCATTTGAGGCTGAGTCGACCCAGGGGAGGCCCAGGACCGGATAATTGTCACCGGTGTTGGCCGTGAGCGGCAATCGAACCCGGGTCGCCGGGTTCGTAGCGCAGCGTAGCGCTAACCGCTTCCCACACACACGAACGGGAGAGTAACATCGACCCTCCCCTCCTACTGCCAGGAACAACTACCACTGGGGGGAGAAAGGTGGCCTCCCATTGGCTAAGATTGCAGCCGGGGGGGGAGGGTAGGGGGGTGAGGGGGGATGAGATGAGATGACGCCCCAGGTGCTTCTGCCGTGCCGCTGCGCTCTCATCAGAAGAGGCCCTTGGCTTTCTTCAGCTCTTTCTGCCTCCACTGGGGCAGGCCGGCGAACTGCGATGGAGACATTTCAAAGATCCTCTCGAAGTCCTCGCTGCCGAGGTAGACCTGGGGGGAGCACGGAATGTGAAGATGATCAGTATTCTTAGGTTGTTTTGGTAAAGTCACGTAGGTAAAAAATTTAAATTATTAAAAGTAAAATAAATAAAAATCACGACGTTTCGGAGGCAACACAAGCTTCCGTCTTCAGGTGGAACCGTCACAGCACGATAGCTGTATCAAGTGAGAGAAATTCCAAGGACACAGTATTTGTATATATACTGGTTGAGGGTGGGAGGAGCCAAGGTAGGCCCTGAATATTGTTTATGATGATCAGTGTTCGTAGAAGGAGAAGAAGTCGGAGAAGACGAGGTGGCGACAAGTCAGTGATTGCATTCCTCATGATAATTGATAATTTGTTTTTTTGCCCTTTTATCTGGCAACAAAACTGACACCTTTTTTTTTTACACGGAGTCATGTTTGCATTGACCACAAAACCTGCAGTCGGAATGCAAACAAAAAACACAACTCTGATGATGTTCTGCATTGTCCTTGAAATTGATTGGTCCACACCCGAGACAGCTTTCTTTAGAGCCTAGTCTCACATGGTGTTGGACCAGATGACGCCAAAAGGCGCACGAAAAGGTGCCAGTTTTGTTGCCAGAAAAAAGGGTCAAAAAACAATTATCATATTTTGCTACTAGCAAATGAGGTTCCAATGGTGCATTCCTCATTTTTGAAAACCTCCCGAAAGGCCCAGGCCACGAGCCACAGGCAGCCACCACACGGCCACCGTCACACACAAGTCCAAACTTGTTGCCTCTCTAGAAATACACGTTCCACCTCCCCCTCGCCTCGTAATTTACTTACAACGGTCCACACCCGAGACAGCTTTCCTTAGAGCCTAGTCTCACATCTACGAGTGCACAGAGAACTGGCCGGTCCCCACTGCGCATGCCGCACCACCGTCCCCGCTACTCACCTCTTTCTTGCTGGGGTCCACGCCAGGCGGCAGATCCTCCGTCGCGACGTTCACGAGGCACTCCGGGGGGTAGGGCCCTGAGTGGGCGCCGTCCACCTCATTCCCGCCGGGCTGGTGACCCCCGCTTTGGTCTGGTTGAGCTGCCACCGCCCCGCCGGCTCCGGCTCCGGTCCCCGCACCGGCGCTCGTCGTCTGCCTCGCGCCTCCCACGGAATTCTGGGTAGCACCGCCCCCTCCGCCGCCGCCGACGCCGGCGACCTTGGCGGAGGCCTTCTCGTCCGCGGCGCTCTTGTAGCCTTGCGGCTGGAGCCCCGGCGCTCCGACTCCCGGCAACTTGCTCCCCGAGGACGCCTTGGCGCCGGCGACTTTGCCGCCACCGCCGGCGGTGGCTGCTGCCGCCTTGCCGCTTCCGCCGCCCGGCTTGCTTTGACCCCCGACGCTCGCCTTGTTGTTCATGTCCTGCCGGGACGAGGGGGCGAAAGGACGTCGATATTCCGTGCCGTGACCCCCGCGGGAGAAGCGAGATTTCGCTTCCCGAAGAACTAACTTGATTTTTTTTCTTTTTTTACCAGGTTAGGCCCACTTAGCTGTGGAAAGGCGAACTGGCCTATAAATGATGGCTCGACACAGTGGCGGAAATGTAGAGCAGCAGCTGGATATCCGAAACGCACGTTTATAAACAACAACACAGACATCATCAACGTTGCAGAGAACGAGTGAGTACAGCAGCGGGCCTCCTCGAGGGATAACCGCATGACCGACAAAACGAGGAGTTTGACGGCCATTATCGAAACAGCACAAGTGTGATAATATGAGAGAAAGAGGCAGGGGAGAGAGACCGGGGGAAGATGGGGGAGTGGGGTTGCAGGTGGAGAGCGGTGCCATCATTGGTGGAGTGGAGTGGAACTCACCACAGTGATCTGGGAGATCCCCGTCACATCCCCGAGCTCCAGCTTGAGATCTTCGTAAGACTTGGCGCTCTGGAATGACACGGTGAACGGGAGGCATGAGAAGGCGGCCACTTTGGCTGGGAGATGTTAACTACCTCGCCAGGTATACAGGAGGTCGTGGGTTGGATCCCAACCCTTGTGACGCCTGCTGCTGTATATTTGGAGTTTGCGTGTCTTTCTCTCATCATCACGGTGGTTAGGAGATGTTAACTCCCTCGCCTGGTGTACAGGAGGTCGCTGGTTCGATCCCAACCTGACGCCTGCTGCTGTATATTTGAAGTTAGTTTGCGGTGTCCCTATCTCCCCATGGTCACGTGGATTTCTCCCCCCCCCCCCCCCCCCCACCGGTTTTTCCCTACACATTTAGAATCAATATCACGCATTTAGGGAATGTGTGGCTGCGATACATTTGCACGCGACGACGCTGATAAGCCGCTTCATTGAGTTATCATTTGAAGCCAGGTCGCTTCTGAAAAAGAGCTATAAAGCAGTTCAGTGGGCATTACCTGGTAATAAGAGTTGTGATGACGGACGGGAGGTTGGAGGCGATTCGTCGCTCGCGCAACGAGGCGAGTGCACGCAGCTCGACAACATCAACCGCGTCGCATATTTACACCTGATTTTTGTGAGTTAAGTTTTTTGTCCAACCCTCCCGCCCTCATACCTCCGATTAGCACGGTGCAAAAGAAGTTCAACATACACACGTACATATGAGTCTCTATGGATATCTGTGGGTCTCTGTGGGTCTCTGTGGGTCTCTACAGTTCTATACGAGTCTCTGGTTCGTCGTGGGTCTCTATCGGTCTCTTCCTTGCTCGTGAATAGCAAATTTGGAAGATAAAGATATTGGCCTTTTTAATGAATTATCTTAAATAAATACATAAATAAGCTATGAAATACTTGCAAGTTATAAGAACGCATCACTTCATCTCATCACTTTATCTCTCGACGCAGTAGCCATGTAGACTCCCAGATGACATTCACGGACAGCCATTGTATCAGACAGCCAATGTATCAGACAGCCAACGTATCAGACAGCCAACGTATCAGACAGCCAACGTATCAGACAGCCAATGTATCAGACAGCCAACGTATCGGAAAACCAACGTATCAGACCGCCAACGTTTTAGACAGCCAACGTATCAGACAGCCAACGTATCAGACAGCCAACGTATCAGACAGCCAATGTATCAGACAGCCAACGTATCGGACAGCCAACGTATCAGACAGCCAATGTATCAGACAGCCAACGTATCAGACAGCCAATGTATCGGAAAACCAACGTATCGGAAAACCAACGTATCAGACAGCCAACGTATCAGACAGCCAACATAGCGGACAGCCAACGTATCAGACAGCCAACGTATCAGACAGCCAATGCCACAGACAGCCAATGTATCAGACAGCCAACGTATCGGAAAACCAACGTATCGGAAAACCAACATATCAGACAGCCAACGTATCAGACAGCCAATGCCACAGACAGCCAACGTATCAGACAGCCAATGCCACAGACAGCCAACGTATCAGACAGCCAACGTATCGGAAAACCAACGTATCGGAAAACCAACATATCAGACAGCCAACGTATCAGACAGCCAATGCCACAGACAGCCAACGTATCAGACAGCCAATGCCACAGACAGCCAACGTATCAGACAGCCAACGTATCGGAAAACCAACGTATCGGAAAACCAACATATCAGACAGCCAACGTATCAGACAGCCAATGCCACAGACAGCAAACGTATCAGACAGCCAACGTATCGGAAAACCAACGTATCGGAAAACCAACATATCAGACAGCCAACGTATCAGACAGCCAATGCCACAGACAGCCAACGTATCAGACAGCCAACGTATCGGAAAACCAACGTATCGGAAAACCAACATATCAGAAAGCCAACGTATCAGACAGCCAATGCCACAGACAGCCAACGTATCAGACAGCCAACGTATCGGAAAACCAACGTATCGGAAAACCAACATATCAGACAGCCAACGTATCAGACAGCCAATGCCACAGACAGCCAACGTATCAGACAGCCAACGTATCAGACAGCCAACGCCACAGACAGCCGAGCTCGCGACCGCCGGGGAAGAAGCTCGCGCGTCACCTTCCACTTGAGGTGGTCCCAGGCCATGAACCACCCGGTGAAGGTGGGCGGCTCGAAGCCCTGCTTGACGGTCACCACGGGGGTGTCGGGGTCCCGTTGCGACGGGTGAGACTTGAGGAACTCCCTCGCCGTGGCGGCCGACTCCACGCGCTCCTTCTCGCTCGCTCCGCTGCCCAGCCACAGGAAGAGCTGCGGTGGCGGCAATGCCAGCCGGCATCCAACGAGAGAACCGTCGGTACACGGAGATGGTGAGATGGCTCCACGGCTCTTCCCCCCACCGTGGTCCCCCCCCCTCGCTCCCTCCCCCCAACTCACCGCCCCCCCCCACCCTGATCACCCCCTCGCTCTACCCCCCCCAACTCACCGCTCCCCCCACCTTGATCCCCCCCTCGCTCCCCCCCCTCAACTCACCGCTCCCCCCCCCACCACCCTGCTCCCCCCTCACTCCACCTCCCGCTCCCCCCTGCTCCCCCCACACTCACCGCTCTCCCCCCCCCCCCACCCTGCTCCCCCCCTGCTCCCCCCTGCTCCCCCCACACTCACCGCTCTCCCGCCCCCGCTTCCTCTGCCCGCTCACACCAACCCTGCTCCCCCCTCCCCGCTCCCCCCCTCCCCACTCCCCCCCTCCCCGCTCACCGATCCCCCCGTCCCCCACTTCCCCTGCCCACTCGCCCCCCCGCTTCCCCCTGCTACCCCCCCTGCTCCCCCCCACTACCCCCCCCTGCTCCCTGCTACCCCCCCCTCTCCCTGCTCCCCCCTCACCCCCGACCGGAGGTGTCGGCAGGCTTCGGCCCGCTGCGCCCAGGGCGAGATCACGACCAACACCGTCGGCAATAACCCAGTGACCACCGATCGCAGATCGATCGTCGATGCACCACAGTATCGCCCCGGTGCCTCGGCGGGGTGGGTGGGGAGGGGCGAGGGGTGTTTGGATAGGGGGAGGAGAGGGGCGAGGGGCGGGGGCGGGGGGGAGGGAGAGGGGGGGGTGGCGGCACCTCTTCGCCGGCGTCCAGCAGCATGACGTCATCCTCGTCCAGGTCGTCCTGCGTGAAGCCGGCCACCTCGGTGACGAAGAAGCGGCCGCTCTGCGTGGAGCACTCGAAGAGGCGCGGCATGAAGTCCGTCGCCTCCTCCTGCAAGCTGTGGGCGCATCGCACGGACCCACGTTGGACTTCTTTTGCACCGTACGTAGCCATCGGTGCTAATCGGAGGTGCTGTGTATGTACGTTGAACTTGATAATTGTTTTTTTACCCTTCTACCTGGCAACAAAACTGACACCTTTGCAAACAAAAAACATAACACATTATCAGAGTTGTGTTTCCATTATGACTGCAGGTATTGTGGTCTATGTAAACATGACTCCTTGTAAAAAAAGGTGTCAGTTTTGTTGCCAGATAGAAGGGTAAAAAAAACACTTATCATATTTTTACTGGCAAATGAGGTTCCAATGGTACGTTGAACTTTCGCACCGTAAGTAGCCATCGGTGCTAATCGGAAGTGCTGTGCATGTCCATATGTTGAACTTCTTTCACACCATACGGAGCTAACCCAGCTAATCAGATGTGTGGAGACACGCGAGGCCTTTAACAGGGCATCACGTGCAGCGAGCGCTGTTTGCGAGCGCCTATTCAGGCCGCCACGGCACACAAGGGGGCGTGTGGCCAGCACCACGCCACGGGGAAGTTCGCGCACCGCACCAGCTATTCATTTGAGGCTGGGTCGACCTAGGGGAGGGCCCAGGACCGGTTCAGATCAATCATCGCCGGTGTTGGTGGCCGCAAGCCGGGAATCGAATCCGGGTCGCCGGATTTGACCGCGAGAAGCCTCCGTCTCTGTGTGAAACGGCTGTACGACGTATGGACCTGAAAACTCAATTTCCTTGCACAAGAATATGGGTTGAACCGTATGGGTTGACAGGTATGCAGTTATCATTATCATCGTCAACCGTGATGAATCCACCACCGTACGAGGATTCGTAACGATCGGTTCGATTATGGCCGCATAGCAATGCACCTCGGCCAAGCTCTGCAGTCCTGCATCTGTTAAGGTGTTCTCGGCCAATTGGTGAGCGTTTATTTGCGGGAGCAATGCAGAAAACCTGGAGAATCGTTGAGTTTTGCCCCCAACTGTTACGAGTTGAGAAGAAAATATTAACCGAGGTTTACAGACAGAGAGAGAGAAAGAGGGGAGTCGATTCGGTCGGGGTCACGTGTGACGAGATAGAAAGAGAGACACGCAAACTCCAAATACACAGCAGGCGTCCGTGCCCGGTTCCCGACACGAGGCCCGCGCACGGTGCCGCCGCTCAGGCCGCGGCCGCGGGGGGCCCCACCGCCGCGCTCACCCACCGCTTGTCGCTGGCGTAGGCCGCCTTGCCGCCGATGGCCAGCCAGAAGTCGACGGGCTCCTGGCCCTCCAGCACGGTGACCTTGTCCCCGCGGGTCAGCAGCCCGGCCACCGACTTGCCCAGCTCGCGCTCGTCGCCGCTGCAGCCCTGGCGACGCGAATCACCGCGGGCGGAATGGTGACGGTGGTGACTGTGGTGACGATGGTGACGGTGTGCGTAGCGAACCGCGCTAATCGGAGGTACGTGGAAGGACAACGAATTATGGGTCTCTGTGTGAGTCTATGGGTCTATGCGTTGAGTCTATGGGTCTATGCGTTGAGTCTATGGGTCTCTGTGTGAGTCTATGTGTATCAGTGTGAGTATGGGTCTCTGCGTTGAGTCTATGGGTCTCTGTGTGAGTCTATGAGTCTCTGTGTGAGTCTATGGGTCTCTGTGTGAGTCTATTGGTCTCTGCGTTGAGTCTATGAGTCTTTGTGTGAGTCTATGGGTCTCTGTGTGAGTATGGGTCTCTGTGTGAGTTTCTGTGTGAGTCTACGTGTTTCTGTGTGAGTCTATGGGTCTCTGTGTGAGTATGGGTCTCTGTGTGAATCTGGGTCTCTGCTCTCTGAATTGAGTCTATGGGTCTCTGTGCGAGTCTCTGTGTGAGTCTATGTGTATCAATGTGAGTATGGGTCTCTGTGTGAGTATAGATATCTGTGTGAGTCTACGGGTCTCTGTGTGAGTCTATGGGTCTCTGTATGAGTCTATGTGTCTCTGTATGAGTCTATGTGTCTCTGTGTGAGTCTATGTGTCTCTGTGTGAGTCTATGGGTCTCTGTGTGAGTCTATGGGTCTCTGTGTGAGTCTATGGGTCTCTGTGTGAGTCTATGGGTCTCTGTGTGAGTCTATGGGTCTCTGTGTGAGTATGGGTCTCTGTGTGAGTCTATGGGTCTCTGTGTACGTCTATGTGTCTCTGTGTGAGTCTATGGGTCTCCGTGTGAGTATGGGTCTCTGTGTGAGTCTATGCGTCTCTGTGTAAGTCTATGTGTCTCTGTGTGAGTCTGTGGGTCTCTGTGTGAGTCCACGGGTCTCTGTGCGAGTCTATGTACGTACGTTGAACTTCTCTCGCACCATACGCCGCCGACCTCGCTAATCGCCGGCGCGCGACGCCCCCCGCGGCATCTCCCGCATGCCACAGAGGTCGCAAACGGGTTTTGATTCCTTACCCGTACCTGGCCGCACCAGGGTCGTACGCTACCCATACCCTACCTGAAATGAGTGACAAACGGTGACTCACCAGTGACTCACGGCCTACCTGTACACGTACCCGGCCGCGCCAGGGTCGCAAATGGGTACCCGTACCCCCGTACCCGGCCGGGTACGGGTAGCCGGGTATCGGGTAAGGGTACGGGTATCAGGTAGCCGGTTGCGACCTCTGGCGTGCCGTGCTCACCTTGCCGCACCACACGTCACAGTGGTTGGGCTGCTGGAGCACGAAGACGTCGTTGGAGTTGAGCGACCCGGCGCAGGCCGGCACCTCGATGGCCTTGGTGTTGTGGCTGCCTGTCCCTCGCACCTGGAAGAGCCTGGTGGCTCGCTCGAGCTCCTGGCCGCCCTTGCGGGATGTGCCGCCCTGTTGGAGCGCAACGACGGGTCGTCATCTTCGCCGTCACACGGATGCCAACCCCTTAGCAGTGCCCTTGCCTTGTTACAGACCAAGTCAGACCTCACTGGTCACCCCGTGTCCCGTATACATCTCAACGTTCATCCTACAAAGTCACTATACACTACTCTACTGGACACTACATTACTCTACACTACATTACTATACACTACACTATACACTACACTATACACAACACTATACACTACACTATACACTACACTATACACTACACTACTATACACTACACTATGCACTACACTATTACATACCTGTCAACCCCTTCTCAGTGCCCTGCCTTATTATAGAACAAGTCAGTACCTTCTTGGTCACCCCGTGGCCCTTATACATCTCAACGTTCATCCTACAAAGTCACTATACACTACTCTGCTATATTTGGATTTATAGCTTTCGTGACTGCAGGGATTCACATTGTTGGTTCTCTCGGTAAAGTCACGTGACTTTACCGAAAGAACCAAGAATACTCTACTATAAACTACATTACTATACACTATACACTACACTATTGCATACCTGTCAAACCCTTATCAGGGCCCTGCCTTATTGCAGAACAATCAGACCTCACTGGTCATCCTGTGTCCCTTATACATCTCAACGTTCATCCTACAAAGTCACTATACACTACTCTATACTATGCACTACACTATACACTACACTATTACATACCTATCAACCTCTTATCAGTACCCTACCTCCTGTATACTAGGCGAGGTAGTTAACACCTCCTCGCCACCGTGATGATGATGAGATAGAAAGAGAGACACGCAAACTCCAAATATACAGCGGGCATCAGGCTCGGGATCGAACCCACGACCTCCTGCGTACCAGGCGAGGTAGTTAACATCTCCTAGCCACCGTGATGATGATGAGAGAGAGAGGCGCAAACTCCAAATATACAGCAGCAGACGTCAGGGTCGGGATCGAACCTGCGACCTCCTGTATACCAGGCGAGCTAGTTACCATCTCCTAGCCGCCGTGATGATGAGAGACAGAGAAACACGCAAACTCCAAATATACAACAGCAGGCGTCAGGCTCGGGATCGAACCCACGACCTCCTGTATACCAGGCGAGGTAGTTAACATCTCCAAGCCACCGTAGCACCCTCGACCTGGCTATCACAAATGACAGCTTGTTGAAGTCGCCTATCGTCACGTGAACATTTACAGCAGCAGCAGCATTAGCAGCAGCAGTCAAATCAATCCGCCGCAGTCTGACTAAACGACGACCACGATACCTCGAAGATGACCACGGGCCCGCGGAAGATGGCGAGGAAGTGACGCGGCTCCTTGCCCATGGTGACGCGCACCTGCGTGGGCTCACCGCCGTAGCGGCGGTCCAGCTCCACCGCCTGGTAGGCCGAAGCCGTCACCTCGTCGCGGGATGCGTGCCGGCCCTGGTGGGTCAATCGCGCGTCCGTCACAGGGTGGTTTTTTGTTTGTTTGTGTCGTTTGGATTTTTTTTTCTAATTATCATTTACTTCTTCTTGGTTCTTTCGGTAAAGTCGCGTAGAATGGAAATGATGAAGTAATTGAAATAAAACATGATAAAATAATTCTCACGACGTTTCGGACACGACGCAAGCAGCCGTCCTCAGGTGAAGAACAGGTGAAGAACAGGTCAGACGCTGTCTTTCCGGCAGACCTGTTCTTCACCTGAGGACGGCTGCTTGCGTTGTGGCCGAAACGTCGTGAGAATTATTTTATTATGTTTTATTTTAATTATTTTATTATTTCCCTTCTACGTGACTTTACCGAAAGAACCAAGAAGATGAATCCCTGCAGTCACGAAAGCTTTAAATCGAAATTGATCTTTCACTTGCTTACGCTTTAAAATGGATTTCATAATTTTATTATCACATACTTTTAGATCCATAACACAGGGTGTTTTTTTTTCTAATTATTTTTTACTCTCATTATTTTATCGCGCATTAATATTTATTATGTATTTTTATTCAAATAAACTTTTATATCCATAATACAGGGTTTTTTGGGGGTTAGGTCGCGGTGGTGGCGGTGGTGTTGGCGGCGGTGGCGGCGGTGGCGGCGGTGGTGTTGGCGGTGGTGGCGTCGGTGGTAGCGGTGGCAGTAGCCGTCGTACCTGCCACATGTAGATGAGGTGGGAGGGCTTGTTGGCCTTCAGGTAGGTGTAGAGCACCAGGTAGCAGTCCCCGCCGTAGAACTGCCCGTGGAACTTCTTCTCCACCGGCTGCAGCTCCAGGTTCTCGATGCGGTAAACCTGCGCCCGGCAATCCGCAGCGACGGCCGCGGTTAGCAGGCGGGTGGCGGTGGCAAACGCCCGTGACCTCGCGGCACGAAAGGGCCTGGGTTCGACTCCCAACTCGCTGCGGCCCTCTCTGTGTGGAGTGTCTACGTTTTTTCTCTCTGTTGTCTCTCTGTCTCTGTCTCTCTCTCTCTGTCTGTCTCTGTCTCTGTGTCTCTCTCTCTCTGTCTCTCTGTCTCTGTGTCTCTCTCTGTCTCTGTGTGTCTCTCTCTGTCTCTCTCTCGGTCGTCGCTCTGTGTCTCTGTGTCTCTCTGTCTCTCCCTATCTCTCTCTGTCTCTCTCTGTCTCTGTGTGTCTCTCTCTGTCCCTCTCTCGGTCGTCTCTCTGTCCCTTTGTGTCTCTCTGTCTCTCTCTGTCTGTGTGTGTGTCTCTCTCTATCTCTGTGTGTCTCTCTCTGTCTATGTGTGTCTCTCTCTGTCCCTCTCTCGGTCGTCTCTCTGTCCCTTTGTGTCTCTCTGTCTCTCTCTGTCTGTGTGTGTGTCTCTCTGTCTCGCTCTGTCTCTCTCTCTGTCTCTCTCTGTCTCTGTCTGTCTCTCTCTCTCTCTCTGTTTTTCTCTCTCTCTCTCTGTCTCTCACCACGTGTGTTTTCTCGGGGCTCTCCGCTATTTCTCCTCCCGGAGGCAAAGCAAGTGACGCGCCGACACCCGGCGTCTTTGGCCAAATCGTTCCACCCGGGCCGACGACTTCAGCGACTCAACTGGCGCGAGCTGTAAACTCCGCAGTTCCCCTGGCAGAGCCGCTTCCGGGCAGCCGAGCCACCCCACGGGGCAACCGCGAGGACGCTCGGCACGGCGAGCAACGAGCGGATCGCGTAACGTGGACCGGTGGCGTTCCTTGGAAAACTGGGACAGGTGGTAACCTGAGCTGGGTGGGGGGCAGTGGGGGGCAGTGGGGGGGGGGGGTGACCCTGACCTCCACGTCGCCGGACGCGTCGTCCACCATGCGCTCCTGGGCCGCGATGTCCGGCCGCGCGTGCAGCAGCGTCGCGTCGAACTTGCCGTCCTCCACCTTGGCTGTGGGGGCACGCGGCGTGGTTACCGCGGCGACGTGGAGAGAGAGCGGCGCGGTTACCAAGGCGATGTGAAGTGAGAGTGCCACGGTTACCAAGGCGATGTGAAGTGAGAGCAGCACAGTTTCCGAGGTGACATGGAGAGAGAAGTGGAGAGAGAGAGAGTGGCGCGGTTACCGAGGCGATGTGGAGACAGCGACACGGTTACCGAGGCGACGTGGAGTGAGAGCGACACGGTTACCGAGGCGATGTGGAGAGAGAGCAACACGGTTACCGAGGCGACGCGGAGAGAGAAGTAGAGAGAGAGAGAGCGGCGTGGTTACCGAGCGCTCTCGGCCCTCACCGATTTTGCCGGCGTTGTAGGCCTTGCCCAGGCCCACGGTCTGCCCCGGCACGCTCCACTTCTGGAAGAGCTGCTTGAAGACGGCCGACTCGGCACCGTCGTTCACCAGTTCGACGCCGGTCGAGGACGGATATCCCTTGGCCTTGATGAAGCCCTGCGACGGCGAGGATCGACGCGTCAACGCCGAGAGCGAGCTACGGGGTGGGCTGTGAGACCCACTGGTGATGTGGGGACCTCACTCTGAGACCCACAGGACCTCACTCTGAGAACCACTGGTGGTGTGGGGACCTCACTCTGAGACCCACTGGTGATGTGGGGACCTCACTCTGAGACCCACAGGACCTCATTCTGAGAACCACTGGTGGTGTGGGGACCTCACTCTGAGACCCACTGGTGATGTGGGGACCTCACTCTGAGACCCACAGGACCTCACTCTGAGAACCACTGGTGGTGTGGGGACCTCACTCTGAGACCCACTGATGGTGTGGGGACCTCACTCTGAGACCCACTGGTGGTGTGGGGACCTCACTCTGAGAACCACTGGTGGTGTGGGGACCTCACTCTGAGAACCACTGGTGGTGTGGGGACCTCACCCTGAGACCCACTTGTGGTGTGGGACCTCACTCTGAGACCCACTGGTGGTATGGGGACCTCACTCTGAGACCCACTGGTGGTGTGGGGACCTCACTCTGAGACCCACTGGTGGTGTGGGGACCTCACCCTGAGACCCACTGGTGGTGTGGGGACCTCACTCTGAGACCCACTGATGGTGTGGGGACCTCACTCTGAGACCCACTGGTGATGTGGGGACCTCACCCTGAGACCCACTGGTGGTGTGGGGACCTCACTCTGAGACCCACTGGTGATGTGGGGACCTCACCCTGAGACCCACTGGTGATGTGGGGACCTCACCCTGAGACCCACTGGTGGTGTGGGGACCTCACCCTGAGACCCACTGGTGGTGTGGGGACCTCTGGACCACACAACTCACCAGTGCACGGCTCATGGCCTCCTTCTTCTCCGTTTTGGTCGCTCCTTTCCCCTTCCACACGAAGATTTTGGAACCGCCCTGGTCCAAGATGTAACAGTCCTGCCCACGGGAAACACGCACGGTACCGTCACGGTGCAATCAGATCAACTGCACGACTATGCACGTTTCATTGCGCCGGGTTAAAGCCCACTGAGCCATATGGAGGCCTATTCTTAAGTTTTTTCGGTAAAGTCGCGTAGATAAAAAAATTACAATTTTAATTAATAAAAGTAAAATAAAATAAAAAATCACGACGTTTCGGAGGCAACACAAGTCTCCGTCATCAGGTGGGACCGTCACAGCCAGATTTTCTGTATCAAGTGACTTTATTTTTTTTTTACTTTAATTAATTTTAATTTTTTTACCTACGTGACTTTACTGAAAAAACCTAAGAATATTAATCCTTGCAGTCACGAAAGCTTCAAATCTAGAGCCATATGGAGGCCCTTGTTTCTGAGTCGACCTGGCCACGAGTGATGATGGCTCGCCATCGCGTGGGCCAGCGGTCATTTTACGTGAGGTGCACTCCGCACCCTCTGGGGGTGCGAGATGCCCTTGTTGGAGTGGCGAAACATTTAGACGGTAAATGATCAAAAACACAAATTCAGCACGGGGCATCAAACCCGACGTGCTTATGAACATTGTAACAACAACAATCACTTAGGGATGCAAGGCTCCAGCAAAGGTTAAGAACCACTGGGCCGTGGACATTCACAGCGGGCTTTTAACACGTGGGCTCTTCGCGACCAACATCATCCACTTGGCACGCCGCGTCCGGCGTTCACCACCACCGGCGCCGCCGCCGGCCCAACGGCGAAAGCCGGGACGACCGTCGGCGGCGCGTGGCGTTCGGGGAGACTTACATCGTGCATCAGGAGGTCCTGGGTGAGGGGTCTCGTCGCGACCTCCTGAACCACGAGGCTGCCCTCCGAGTCGGACACGCTGGGGGGCGGAAGCACAAACATCGGCCACGGTCACTCTGCTGCTGGATGAGGGCCTCCCCGGGGCCGCACGCACCGCGGGCTCGTTTCGTGGCACGCGTCCCAACCGCGGCCTGCACGTCACCTCCCTGTTTCTCCGTCACAGCTACGAGCGTGGGACCTCCGTGAACGACACATCTGTTGTCCCTTCTGCATACCGTGTCAACCCACACAGTTTACTCCGTATTCTTGTGCAGGGAAATTGAGTTTTCAGGTCCATACGGTGTACAGCCGTTTCAATAGGGCAACAACAATCACATTTTGTCTATTTCTTTGTTTGCGTCTGTAACAAGGTAGGGCACTGATTAGGGGTTGACAGGTATGCAATGGTGAGCACTAGGGGTGAGTGCAGTAGTGGTGGTTGTCTATTGTTTGTGTTTCTCCCTCGCCATGTGACTTTGTAGGATGAACATTGAGATGTATAAGGGGCGCGGGGCGAACAACGAAGCCTGAATTTGTCTGTAACAAGGTATGGCCACTGATAAGGTGGTTGACAGCTCTGCTTCCGTAGTCCACACGTCACCGCCTCCTTGCATCTCCTTGCATCTCCTTTCGCTACATCCCCCCCCGCCCCCGGGCCGCTCCGACGGGGCGGCCGTGGGCCCCCCGTGCGAGGCCTCACTGGTAGAGCTTCACGTTGGACTTCTGGTGCTGGTCGGCGCGGTCGTCGGGAGCCCCCTCGGGGAGGGGCCCCTTGCGGGGGCCCAGGATCCCGACCATGGCGGCGACGAGGTCGGGGCTCTCCTCCTCGCGGTCGCCCTCCACCACGCCGATCTGGCTGCGGCCACCGCGCTCGCGGTCGCGCACGTCCATCGCCAGCTTCATGCCCTGGTGGTAGAGGGAGGGGGGGGGGCGCCATAGCGAGCCAGCGAGCGAGCGCGTTGTTAGGTCGACGATAGTTTTTGAAGAAGAAAAAAACACACCGGGCATGCCACGTGGCTGTGTGTGTGTGCGTGTACGTGTGATGAGGGAGCGGCGAAGGAGTGGTGGTGGAGCGGCGAGAGATTGGCAAAGGAGTGGCGAGGGAGCGACGGTGGAGTGGCGAGTGAGTGGCGGTGGAGCGGTGAGGGCGTGGAGCCGGGCACCGACCTTGAGGCGCTCCATGCGGTTGCTCCCGGCGCCATTCCACTGGACGATGACTTTGCCGATGTCGAGCAGGAAGACGTCGCTCGTGTTGAAGCTGTCCCACGACAGCTCCACCTGCGCCCGTCAACCAAACCATAATTAGACAACAACAACATCAATATGATGGTGATGTCACATTCATTGCATACATATTCAGGTTATAATTGCTTGTTGATCAACTGTGACTAACCCAACCGGTGATAGATCCTGCATATTCTCAAATTAATATGATTCATTGACAATAAAATAATAGGAAAATATAAAACAATAAAATTCTCACGACGTTTCGATTGCAACACAAACAATCATCATCAGGTGTGAAAACCACAGCAAGAAATGTTTTAAAAAGTGGCGTTTTTTTACTTTCTTGCTGTGGTTTTCACACCTGATGATGATTGCTTGTGTTGCAATCGAAACGTTGCGAGAATTTCATTGTTTGAAATTTGTATTATGTTATTGTTTCCCTTCTACGTGACTTTACCGAAAGAACCAAGAATATGAATCCCTGCAGTCACGAAAGCTTTAAATCGAAATTTACGTGACGACATTAACCCCCTTCTGATCTGCGCACATGACAGGCTCACGGGCGGTGACATCACCTCTACTCCGTCTATCTAAGACGGGAATCAGCACGACTTCTTCACAATTCTGACTATCACCTGACGAAGCTGGTGGTTGTTGTTGTTGTAACCGCCAGGCGACACGTCACGGCGCTACTGGAATTGTAAATGCCGTCGTGGGTTTACTCTCGTAACAACGGAACCGAATTGGCACGTTTCGTTAACGTGAACAGAAACTTTCTGGATGTGTCGCCGCTTTGGCACACCGGTGTGTGTTGGAGAGGGGGTTTCTTTCGCTGTAGTAGTATTTGTACCCTGGGGTTCAGGGATCATATAGTATTCTGTACCCTGGTAGGTGTGGGGGGTTATAGTGCTCTAATAGTATCTGTATAATCTTGATTTGAAACTTTCGTGACTGCAGGGTTCCATACTCTTTGGTTCTTTCGGTAAAGTCACGTGGGTAGAACAATAAAATAGATTACGACGTTTCGGGCGCGACACAAGCATCCGTCGTACTCAAATTGTAAATGTTGTGGTTTCACGCTTCAACAAAAAGGTGTGGGGCTAAAGCAGTGAACTATTTTGTCTTTTGTCAGCGTGACACTTTTTTTACTGATTGGCCGTGTCGGGTGTTGGAGGGTTACGACACATTTATAAATAACGCGATCTAAACCCAAAAACGTTGATTATGTGTATCAGTATAGTTTTTTTTTTCTTCTTGGTTCTTTCGGTAAAGTCACGTAGAAGGAAAATAATAAAATAATAAAAATTAAACATCATAAAATACAATTCTCACGACGTTTCAGCCACAACGCAAGCAGCCGTCCTCAGGTGAAGAACAGGGCTGTCGGAAAGACAGAGTCTGAATGAACACCACCAAGCTTGGTAGCGTATATTTAAGCTGGGTTAGAAGAGGAGGGCGCCTTGACAAAGGAATTTGCATATCAACAGAGGGATTTAGCATATTTATGGAAAATGCAGATATGGAATTAGTCACTACTTGTGGAATGTGTAGGTTCACGATACTATATGACGGAGTTTGGGGGGAGAAAGTTATATTGCTATAATAGTATTCGTCTTAGGATCCTGAAATCAAGATACTATGTGGCAGGCGGGGTAGGGGGGGCGGACGGGGGCTGTCACCTCGCTGGCCGTCACGTTCTTCTTGCCCTTGACGTGCAGAAGCCGTTTCACGTTGTAGGTGTTGCTCTCCACGTGCTTGAAGCCGGATGCAATGCCTCCTTTCTTGTATCTGAGTAAAGACAAAGATTTCGATTTAAAGCTTTCGTGACTGCAGGGATTCATCTTCTTGGTTCTTTCGGTAAAGTCACGTCGAATGGAAATAATAAAATAATAAAAAGAAAACATAATAAAATAATTCTCACGACGTTTCGGCCACAACGCAAGCAGCCGTCCTCAGGTGGAGAACAGGTCTGTTCTTCAGACGCTGTCTTCTCGACAGACCTGTTCTTCACCTGAGGATGGCTGCTTGCGTCGTGGCCGAAACGTCGTGAGAATAATTTTATTATGTTTTATTTTTATTCTTTTATTATTTCCATTCTACGTGACTTGACCGAAAGAACCAAGAAAAGACAAAGATCCCACCCCCTGTGTAGCCTCGACAGACTGTTGGGGCAAGGGCTGTTAGCGAGCAGCACCTATGAAGGCCGGCACGGCGCACGAGGGGGTGGGTGGCCAGCGCCACGCCTGGCCGCCTTTGTCTCCCGGGTGGCGATGTATACTCTACACGCGGCAGCATCTACTCATTTTGAGGCTGAGTCGACCTAGGGGAGGCCCACGACCGGTTCATATAACCGTCACCGGTGTTGGTGTCCATCAGCGGGAATCGAACTCGGGCCACTAGGTTCGCAGCGCAACGCGCTAAGCGTTACGCCGCCTCACACACCGCAGCGCATGCAGCAGCAACGCAAGCGATTCGTGAGCACCCCATTTCCACTGGCACATCCGAGCCGAGCCAGAACTAAACCATGAGTAACCTGGGCCTCGCAGAGAAATGATCTGGGCTGGGGCTAACGACTCGTTCATTGCGTGCGACGATGAAGATGATCAGGACGAAGACGATGATGACAATGATTGCCGATGCTGATAATGGCGTTTGTGATGATGATGATGATGATGGCGACGATTATGCTGATAATACTGATACTAATGAGGAGCACGATGTGCATGGTGACAATGGTGTTGAGAATGATCACGATGATGATCGTGATGATCACTGTAATGATGATACACTAATTATGAGGATGATGACGATGATGTTGATGATCACTATCCTAATGATCACAAATGATGATTATCACGATGATGATGTTGCAGATACTAATTATGGGGATGATGATGTCGATGATCACTATTCTAATGATCATCACGATGATCATGATGATCACCATAATGATGACACACTAATTATGGGGGTGATGGTGTTGATGATCGCTATACACATGATGATCACGATGATGATCACATTATAATCACACACTAATTATGGGGGTGATTATGTTGATGATCGCTATACTCATAATGATCACGATGACCATAATGATCACATTATAATGACACACTAATTATGGGGATGACGATGTTGATGATTGCTCTACTAATGATGATCACATTATAATGACACACTAATTATGGGGATGACGATGTTGATGATCACTCTACTAATGATGATCACATTATAATGACACACTAATTACGGGGTTGACAATGTTAATGATCGCTCTACTAATGATGATCACATTATAATGACACACTGATTATGGGGGTGACGATGTTGATGATCGCTCTACTAATGATGAACACATTATAATGACACACTAATTACGGGGTTGACAATGTTAATGATCGCTCTACTAATGATGATCACATTATAATGACACACTGATTATGGGGATGACGATGTTGATGATCGCTCTACTAATGATGATCACATTATAATGACACACTAATTACGGGGGTGACGATCGCGACGATCGCGACGATCGCGACGACGGCTACGAGCACAACGCTCCGGCTCACATGACGCCGGACTTGAAGTAGCCCTTGAAGGTGTCGGACTCGCTGCCCTGCACCTCGCGCCGCTGCACGGCCGCCCCCCCGAGCTGCTCGTCCAACTGGGTGCACAGGATGGCGGCGGCGCCCTGCTCGTCCTGCGTCGACTCCCCGCCCAGCCAGTAGTGCACGTCCAGCGTCGCGCCGCTCGGAGACTTCAGCACCTGCGCACCGTGCGCCGAGCGCAGTCAACACCGTCATCGTCGTCGTCGTCGTCGTCGTCATCGTCATCATCATCATCGTCATCACCGTCGTCATCATCGTCATCGTCATCATCGTCATCACCGTCGTCATTGTCATCATCGTCATCACTGTCGTAATCACCGCCGTCATCACCGCCGTCATCGTCGTCATCATCATCATCGTCATCGTTGTCATCACCGTCGTCATCGCCGTCGTCATCGTCGTCATCGTCATCACCGTCATTATCGTCATCATTGTCATCGTCATCACCGTCGTCATCACCGTCGTCATCGTCATCATCGTCATCACCGTCGTCATCACCGTCATCATCGTCATCATCGTCATCATCGTCGTCATTGTCATAACTGTCATCATCACCGTCGTCATCGTCGTCATCGTCATCACTGTCGTCATCACCGTCGTCATCACCGTCGTCATCGTCATCATCGTCATCATCGTCATCACCGTCGTCATCGTCATCACCGTCATCATCGTCGTCATCACCGTCGTCATCGTCATCATCGTCATCACCGTCGTCATCACCGTCGTCATCGTCGTCATCGTCGTCATTGTCATAACCGTCGTCATCAAATCGTCATCGTCACCATCGTCATAACCGTCATTACCGTCGTCATAATCGTCATCACCATCATCATAACTGTCATCACCATCGTCGTCATAACTGTCATCACTGTCATAACCGTCATCATCATCACCGTCGTCATAACCATCATCGTCATAACCATCATCATCATCACCGTCGTCATAACCATCATCGTCATAACCATCATCGTCATCATCGTCAGCAGTGTCGGCGTGGTCCATGTTTGTTTTTGGGTTGGGGTCACTTGGTGGTGGCTTTTAGTCCAAAAATGTTTTTTCATTAACCCCTCCACCACCTGATGAGATTGTCATGTTCACACAGATGGTATTATTATTGGAATTTATACATTGCCAATGTATTGATTATAGGATATATGGGGGATATTTGTCTTTCTCTGTGTGTGTGTGTGTCGGCACGGACTAAAGATGAGATGGACTGATGCTTTACAGGAGGATAGCCCGCATGCCCAGCCACCGCATGCCTTAACAGCTTTTGTTTGGCCGGATCGAGGGGGCTAAACGGGCGCAGCACGGGCTAGAGAAGAGATGGAGTGATGTGGTACAGTAGGATGTGGAGCTGAGCGGACTTGCCGATGACCGGTACCGGCGGTGTCAAGATCGGCCTCTGTGGAGGAGGCTCGTGAAGGATGCTGCTACTGGTCAGTTGGAGGCAGTCGCCCACTCCAGCAACAATGAATGGCAGAGGAGCGACGCTCACAACAATGAGCGGAGCGCCGGGCGGCTAAAGCTCAGCAAGTTAGCACGGTGGAGGGCATAGACGGTGCATCTGCCGGTCATCTCAGTCAACCCACAACAGCGTGGTCTGTCCCGTGACGACCCGTCATCAGCAAAAGCCTTCGACACTTCACGTGACGTCTTCCAAACGTGCACCTAGCCTGGCACAAGCGCCGTGGTCACGTCACTGCCACTTGGTGGTGAATGTGGTCTGTGCTGTTTTTGTCTTTCTGTGCGTGTGTGCGTGTGTGCTTGCAATGCACGGTGCGGTATGCATGAACGTTAAACTTCTTTCGCACCGTGCGTCGCCAGCTGCACTAATCGGAGGTGCGGGGGGAAGGACACCAAAATAAGCACGCAAGAGGCAGTTCTAAAGAAACGAGTTGGTCAATCTAGAACACGGTTTAAAAGGGAGGGCGCTCCAGACGGCTGCAGGAGCGCGTCTGAAAGCGCCGCGAGGTGTCGTGCTTTGTTCGCGGACGAACGGCTTTGAATGCGGTGCGGCCTTCCAACGCAATGCGTTACTCACGTTCAGCAGGACGTAGCAGTCGCCCTCGAAGAAGTTTCCGAAGGCTTTTGGTGGCACCGGCACGAGGGCCATGTTCTGAAAGGACACCGAGAGGAAGGCCCTCGAAGTGATTCACGGGAGGCCATGCGCTAAGACAAAGACGCCCCGTGTAGCCTCAACGGACTGTCGGGGCAAGTGCTGTTAGCGAGTAGCAGCATCTGTGAAGGCCGGCACGGTGACACGCGAGGGGGTGGGTGGCCCAGCATCCACGCGCGGCCGCTTTTGTTTCCCCAGTGGCGATGTTGACCGCACCGTACCAGGTGTTCATATGAGGCCGAGTTGATTTCGGGGAGGGCCAGGAGTGGTTTAGATATAATCGTCACTGGCGGTGTTGGCCGTGAGCGGGAATCGAACTCGTGTCGCCGGGTTCGTAGCGTAGCGCTGACCGCTACACCCCCCCATATAGACATACATCACGAATACCGCGTATCTATGGGGCCTTTTTGCCAGTATCAAAATGTAATCAAATAGATGTCAAGATATTCAAACACCAAAGAGAAACCTTTTTTGCAAGGCATCAAGTCTACATTAACCACACGCGGTGCTTGTGATGAGCATGCAAACAAACACGCACTGATCATTTATCTGCGTTGTCTTTGAAACTGATTGGCCTACACCAGACGAGTGAAGCAATCCACCTGCTTCTGGTCTTAAATAGAGGAAGATGACGTTATCTTGTGTGTGTGTGTGCGTGTGTGCGTGCGTGTGTGCGTACGTGTGTGCGTGTGTGCGTGTGTGTGTGCGTGTGTGTGTGTGTGTGCGTGTGTGCGTGCGTGTGTGCGTGCGCGCGTGCGTGCGTGTGTGCGTGCGTGCGTGTGCGTGCGTGCGTGTGTACGTGTGTGCGTGTGTGTGTACGTGCGTGCGTGTGTGTGCGTGTGTGCGTGCATGCGCGTGTGTGCGTGTGTGCGTGTGTGTGTGCGTGTGTGTGCGTGCGTGTGTGCGTGTGTGCGTGCGTGTGTGCGTGCGTGTGTGTGCGTGCGTGGGAGTGTGACTGTCCTTCACACCTCGACCCTCCACACGTTGAGCCCCGACACTTTCGTGACGGCCTTCACGGTGTCCGGGGAAAGCGCCATCGTCGTTGAGCCTCGCTTGAGGTCGGTCTTGTCAGCTGTGCCGGGAAAGAGAGAAAAGTTACAATGTAAGGCTATGCATGTCAATAGAAGTCTATGGGCAATGTTAGTCTGTGGGCAATGTAAGTCTATGAGCAATGCAGATCTGTGGGTAATGTTAGTCTATGGGCAATGTTAGTCTATGGGCAATGTTAGTCTATGGGCAATGTTAGTCTATGGGCAATAATGTTAGTCTATGGGCAATGTTAGTCTATGGGTAATGTAAGTCTATGGGTAATCTTAGTCTATGGACAATGCTAGTCTATGGGCAATGTTAGTCTCTGAGCAATATAAGTCTATGGACAACAATGTCAGTCTGTGGTCAATATCCTAAACCCACAGTGGTCTGCATTCCTTCAGCAGAGGAGGAGGAGGAGTAGGCACAACGAGAATGTGTCGCTCAGGGCGAGCAGCTACATCATGGAAGACCTTTTCTGCCGGTCTCAAAGTATGAAAAACAAGAATGGGTTTTACCCTTTCTGGCGATATCACAAGAGAATAGGTGTTAAGATGTCCAAACACCAAATGGAAACCTTTTGCAAGGAATCAGGTAACTGCATTAAGCACACATGCTCCTTGTGATGAACATACAATCCAACGCGCTCTGATCATGTAGAATGCATCGTCTTTAAAACTGATTGGTCTACACCAATGTTAGTCTATGGGCTCAAAGACTAGCATTGCCCATATGGCCTTGTCTCATCGCTGTCAGTCCAAAAGGCGAGCAGTTTTTGTTGTTGTTGTAGTGAGAATGTGAATTCAGTTCCTTGTCCCGGGATCGCATCTCCTCCCACCGTCCTTTCGAGGTCGATAAACACAAAGTACCGCTTGGAGCAAGTCAGAATCATAAAATGTGTTTATACTTCAGGAGGAATCCGATGTGCTATAAAGCACGGGGTCAGACCATTACAACAACGGGCGCAGTGAAAAAGCACGATCGGAGTTCGAAGTAACAGGAAATGTAAACACATCACTTGGAAAAAAAATACACAAGTAAAACTAAACTATTTTAATGTTTCGATTTAAAGCTTTCGTGACTGCAGGGATTCATCTTCTTGGTTCTTTCGGTAAAGTCACGTAGAATGGAAATAATAAAATAATAGAAATAAAACATAATAAAATACAATTCTCACGACGTTTCGGCCACAACGCAAGCAGCCGTCATCAGGCGAAGAACAGGGCTGTCATAAAGACAGCGTCTGACCTGTTCTTCACCTGAGGACGGCTGCTTGCGTTGTGGCCGAAACGTCGTGAGAATTTAATTTTATTATGTTTTATTTTTATTATTTCCCTTCTACGTGACTTTACCGAAAGAACCAAGAAGATGAATCCCTGCAGTCACGAAAGCTTTAAGTCGAAATTGAACGCTGAGCCGTCTTGCGGCGTTCCGAGATTCGTCGCTGAATGGGACACCCAAGCACTGCAATTTGGCAGATGCCTCGGAGCGGGAAATAGTTCATTGACAGGAGCGGGCTGGTCGGAGGAAATGTGGAACAATTTGATGATTAATTCGTTATGAATTCTGTTCACGGCGATCACCACAGTCGCGAGCGCACACGCTCAACACATGTTAGCAGAATTATTTATGTCTCTTGAGGTGTGCGCGGCGCAAAGCTGTACAACAGACGGACAACCGAAACTCTCATTCATTATTAAAGCCACGGCTAAGTTCCTTGTTGTGTAGATCGTAGTAATAGGTTTTTACCCTTTCAACTGGTTCAAAAACTGACACCTTTATACAAAGCATCATGTTTGCAATAACCACAACACAAGCAGTCAAAATGCAAACAAAAAGAAACAACTCTGATGATGATAATGATATGCACTGTCCTTGAAGTTGATTGGTCCACACCCGAGACAGCTTTTCTTAGAGCCTAGTCTCCATTGGTGTTGTCTCGGGTGTGGACCAATCAACTTAAAGGACAGTGCATATCATTATCATCATCATCAGAGTTGTTTCTTTTTGTTTGCATTTTGACTGCTTGTGTTGTGGTTATTGCAAACATGATGCCTTGAATAAAGGTGTCAGTTTTTGAACCAGTTGAAAGGGTAAAAACCTATTACTATATTTTGCCACTGGTAAAGGAGGTCTCATAGTGTGTAGATCGTAGTTCAAGCCCTTTCCCAATCATCATCATCGATTCACTGCTGGATGAAGGCTTCCCCAAGCCAACGCCGTCTTTCGGCGTTCCCCGATGTTAGTAACTCGCCCGTCACAATCAATCCTCAAAATCACGTGTCATCAAAGCGTGAATGTGCCATCATTGCACCTCCGATTAGTGCGGTCCGGCTACGGAGGCTGCGAATGAAGTTCAACGTAAAGTCACGTAGAAGGGAAATAATAAAATAATAAAAATAAAACATAATAGAATACAATTATGTTTCATTGGTATTATTTTATTATTTCACGTAGAAGGGAAATAATAAAATAATAAAAATAAAACATAATAGAATACAATTATGTTTTATTGGTATTATTTTATTATTTCACGTAGAAGGGAAATAATAAAATAATTAAATTTATACTTTATAGAATACAATTATGTTTTATTGGTATTATATTATTATTTCCCTTCTACGTGACTTTACCGAAAGAACCAAGAAGATAAAAATGTAAGTGGGTGTGAGACGGATGAATGTACACGTGTGCTGAATGTATCTTGCGCCGTGCGTAGCCAACCGCGCTAATCGGAGGTGCGGTGTATGTACGTGTGTTGAACTTTTTTCGCACCGTACGCCGCCAACCCGTGCCAATCGGAGACGTCAGTTATCGCACTCGCAGGCCACCTTCATACCGATTGTGAAACGGCTCCTCGTCCGGTTTCAGCTGGATCGGGAGTGGAGTTGCTGACCGGTTGTACTGCTTTTATTTACCCACGCAGGGGCCAACAGCGCCGGCGTCACACCGGCGTGACACGCCAAAGGGCAATCAACCACAAGCGCCAATCTATTCGTGCGCGTGGATGGCAGCGATGTGGTTCAGGATCTCGATGTCAACGTGCAGGCCCAGCGGCTGCTGCACGTAGCCAACCCTGAATGGATGAGTGGGTGAGTGAGTGGGTGAGTGAGTGGGTGGGTGAGTGGGTGAGTGTGTGGGTGAGTGAGTGCGTGGGTGAGTGAGTGAGTGGGTGAGTGAGTAAGTGAGTGGGTGAATGGGTGAGTGAGTGGGTGAGTGAGTGGGTGAGTGAGTGGGTGGGTGAGTGGGTGAGTGGGTGAGTGGGTGAGTGAGTGGGTGAGTGGGTGAGTGAGTGGGTGAGTGAGTGGGTGTATGTTGAACTTCTTTCACACCGTACTTCACTAAGAGTGAATGAATGAGTGGGTGAGTGGGTTAGTGAGTGAGTGGGTGAGTGAGTGGGTGAGTGATTGAGTGAGTGGGTGAGTGAGTGGGTGAGTGAGTGGGTGAGTGAGTGGGTGAGTGAGTAAGTGAGTGACTGGGTGAGTGAGTGAATGGGTGAGTGAGTGGGTGAGTGTAATGTGTGTATGTTGAACTTCTTTCACACCGCACTTAACCAAGAGTGAGTGGGTGAGTGTGTGGGTAAGTGGGTGGGTGAGTGAGTGAGTGGGTGAGTGAGTGGGTGGGTGAGTGAGTGGGTGAGTGTGTGGGTAAGTGGGTGGGTGAGTGAGTGAGTGAGTGGGTGAGTGAGTGGGTGGGTGAGTGAGTGGGTGAGTGATTGAGTGAGTGGGTGAGTGAGTAAGTGAGTGACTGGGTGAGTGAGTGAATGGGTGAGTGAGTGGGTGAGTGTAATGTGTGTATGTTGAACTTCTTTCACACCGCACTTAACCAAGAGTGAGTGGGTGAGTGAGTGAGTGAGTGGGTGAGTGAGTGAGTGGGTGAGTGAGTGAGTGAGTGGGTGAGTGAGTGAGTGGGTGAGTGAGTGGGTGAGTGAGTGGGTGAGTGAGTGGGTGAGTGAGTGGGTGAGTGAGTGTGTGTGTGGGTGTAATGTGTGTACGTAACGATCGCTATCCACGTGCGGGCCACCGCTTATCTCGGACAACTCGGCCACACAAATGTGGAATGTCCACAATTTTGCTCAGGGCGACGGTGCGGTACAAATAGCAGCTGCTCAATGCTCGCTTTCAGGGCATTGACCTTTTGACACGACCCAACATGAATTCCCGCTGCCCCGGGGCAAATTGCTCACGACTGGTTGGTAGGCGCACACTCAGCGTGCACAGCGGCAAATCCATTCGCGTCGGCTTCCCTCGCTCTCCGCGGGTCTCCCTCTCTGCTTCCCTCGCTCTCCGCGGGCCTCGCTTTGTGCGGTCTCGCGTGCGGCACGTGCCAGTCACGTGACGTGTTTGGCGACACGAGCACAGGAAGTGAACGTCCCTCCAGCCAGATAAAACTAGTTTGTTTTTACGTTTAACAGCCCTGCGGAACAGATGGGAACTTTTATTTTTTGGACACGCACTTTAGCGTTTGAAAGTGTGTTTTTTCTAATGCGGTCAAGTTGTTTTGGTACGCTGTGAATGGACACACGGTGTGTGTTCATTCTGAATAACGCGATGTGAATAATACATAACGACAACGATGATGGTGGTGGTGGTGACGATGGTGGTGGTGGCGATGATGATGATGGTGACGATGATGATGGTGGTGGCTATGATGGTGGTGGTGACGATGATGATGGTGGTGGCTATGATGATGGTGGTGGTGGCGATGATGATGGTGGTGTGGTGATGACGATGATGATGGTGGTGGCTATGATGATGGTGGTGGCTATGATGGTGGTGGTGGCGATGATGATGGTGGTGGCTATGATGATGGTGGTGGTGGCGATGATGATGGTGGTGTGGTGATGACGATGATGATGGTGGTGGCTATGATGATGGTGGTGGCTATGATGGTGGTGGTGGCGATGATGGTGGTGGTGGCGATGATGGTCGTGGTGGCGACGATGATGATGGTGATGGCTATGATGATGGTGGTGGCTATGATGATGGTGGTGGCGATGATGATGGTGGCGGTGATGGTGGTGGTGGTGACGATAATGGTGGT